GCTTTTCATCACTGAGTCACTCTCTATACTGGCTTACTTTATGTAACATGATGATCTCCTTGTGCATACATTTCTTTCAAGCAACATAAATAATACTTCATTACTAAATAAAATACCATTGTGTATCTATGCCACATTCCCATTTATTTATCTGTGACATCTAAGCTGGTTCTATACCTTAGGTATTAGGAATAGTACCAAAAATTAACATGGATGTGCAAATATCTCCATGATACTCCTTTTGAGAGAAATGCCTACTTTTGATTTCATAGATTTTTGCAAAGACTGAAAGCACAGGAGGATCACTGCTACAGATTGTATTATAAACTATCATCTGCTATTCAATATGATTAATATGGAGAATGCTATGATTTTCACAATTTTGGAAGTAAGTAATTTACACACGAATTCCTCAACTTTTCAGTTATGCAACTCTCAACCATCATTATCTGATAGCACTTACTGATGAGTGCTCATTTGTTTTAACAAAGTATAAGGGAACCATAGTCCTTCATTTTGGGTTTATAGTCGAGCTTCTACTTAACTTTTTTAATCAGAAAAGTAAACTTTTAGTCTCAAAATATGATAGGGAATGCTTTGTTAAGAAGTGTGCAGATACTGTTGCCCACTCAAAATTTATATCCTTTCCTTAAGTGTCTTTTAGCCATTTTATATTCCTCTCTTGAGAGGGCTCTGTTTAGGTCTGTACTCCATTTTTTTAAAATTGGATTATTTGTTCTTTTGATGAACAATTTCTTGAGTTCTTTGTACATTTTGGAGATCAGACCTTTGTCTGATGTGGGGTTAGTGAAGATCTTTTTCTATTCTGTAGGTTGTCGTTTTGTCTTGTTGACCATGTCCTTTGCTTTAGAGAAGGTTTTCAGCTTCAAGAGGTCCCATTTATTAATTGTTTCTCTTAGTGACTGTGCTTCTGGGGTTATACTTAAGAAGTGGTCTCCTGTGCCAATGCCTTCCCACTTTCTCTTCTATGAGGTTCAGTGTGTTTGGCTTTATGTTTACATTTTTGATCCATTTGGAATTGTGTTTTGTGCATGGTGATAGATATGAATTTATTTTCATTCTTCTACATGTATCCAGTTATGCCAGCACCACTTGTTAAATATGCTTTCTTTTTTCTATTTGATATTTTTTGCTTCTTTGTCAAAAATCAGGTGTTGGAAGGAGTGTGGATTAATCCTGGTCCTCAATTCGGTTCCATTGGTCCTCCTGTCCGTTCTTATGCCAATACCAGGATGTTTTCAGTACTGTAGCTCTGTAGTAGAGTTTGAAGTCAGGGATTGTGATGCCTCCAGAAGTTCTTTTATTGTACAGGATTGTTTTGGCTATCCTTAGTCATCAGAGAAATGCAAATCAAAACAACTCTGAGATTCCATCTTACACTTGTAAAAATGGCCAAGATCAAAAACACTGATGACAACTTATACTGGAGAGGTTGTGGGGGTAAAGGGAACACTCCTGCATCGTTGGTGAGAATGCAAGCTGGTACACCCCCTTTGGATGTCAGTATAGTGATTTCTCAGAAAATTAGGAAGCAACCTTCTTCAAGACCCAGTAATACTACTTTTGGGTATATATCCAAAGGATGTTCAATCGTGCCACAAAGATATGTGCTGAACTATGTTCATAGAAGCAGTGTTTGTCATAACCAGAACCTGGAAACAACCTACATGCTCCTCAATCAAAGAATGGATAAGGAAAATGTGGTACATTTACACAATGGAGTATACACAGCAAATAAATAAATAAATAAATAACAACATCTTGAATTTGCAAGCAAATGGGTAAAGCTAGAAAACATTATTTTGAGTGAGGTAACCCAGACCCAAAAAGACAATTATCACATGTACTCATTCATAGGTGGTTTTTAAACATAAAGCAAAGAAAACCAGCCCACAAATCACAATCCCAGAAAACCTAGACAACAATGAGGATCCTAAGAGAGATATACATAGATTTAATCTTCGTGGGAAATAGAAAACAACAAGATCTCCTGAGTAAATTGGGAGCATGGAAACCTTGGGAGACATTTGAAGGGGAGGGAAGACGTAGGGAGAGGAGCGTGGAAAAAATGTAGAGAATAATAATAATAATGGTAGTAATAATAATAATCTATATTCTTTTCTCACTGTTTTATTCGTACTTCATTTGCAACAAAAATGAACACAGACCCACCCTACCAATAATAATGTGTGCCTTATTCAGTACTAGATTCCTGCTCTTGCCTCTCCTAGTCTTTCTTGTTTTTGATGATGACAGTTTTGTTTCTTTACTAGGAACAAGTAGTAACCAGCATACTGTCTTTTCATCTAAAGCAGAGAGGATACCTGTAGGCAAATTGTTATCTTAACGTAGAAAATTAATATGCTAAAGATGGCATTGTGGAAGAGACAGGAAGCAACTCCCTGATGATATTTTATTTCAGCAGAGTGAACCACAGTCATCTCCAGTTGTACATTTAGCATGAGAGAAAATAGGTCTTGCTTACTGTATGTCATTACAGATTGGGTTTCTGATTCTCATTGTAGAATCTTTTCCCAGTAAATACATGTATACTAGAAAATCAATGGAAGATACAGCATGACAGCATAAATTAAAAAGATTTCTAGAGTACATTTTTAATTTTGTTTTTAACATCCACTTAGGCTAAATGGGAGACTTTCCCTAAAATGTTCTTGTAATTAGATCTGAGATGTCTTACAAAATATCAAGTTGTTCGAGGGATTTATGGGAAGGGATCAAAAGCACTAAAGACTTTCAAAAAGTCATATGGGAACCTGCTACTGTAGAAATATCCATGTATCTGTACATAGAAACATATACATACAAACAGACATACATGTAAAAAGAGTTAAAACAAAGTTAAGCTATCCTGGGGCAACAATGAATGTCCATACTCAATAATACAGATTAACAAATAAAAGGCCCATTTCCAGGTTTGGGTTTTCTCTAATTTCTAAACTTAGAGACTATTGACAATGCTCATGGCCACTCTCCAGAATTTTGATGGTAAGATCCAATTACTGAGGATGCCATACATTTGCAACATGAAACATTGAGAAATTAAGTTGGTACTAACCTGGCTAGTTTTCAGTTTTGGAAATTGCTATCCATGTTACTGGAAGAGAAATCAACCATCCACCTTATCACCAACTGTGAACCTTTGGAGCTACAGAATGATTGGCTTGATAAGACGTGCAAGAAACAAACACCCTGGGAGAAAACAACCACTTTATAAATGGACTGAAGTTCCGCTCCCCAAGATGACACACATACCTGGCACCATTATCTAACCAAGAATAATGTATTTTCAATAGTGTAATTACTTCTCTGGTAGCTTTATCTATTATTCTCCTAAAAATAAACCATATTATCAATTAAGAATAAGGAAAATTTAGAAATTTGAACCTTGAAGGCTTTCAAGGTTCCTCTGGCATATCGTTTTAAAAAATGAGGCATTTTAATCACTATCCATTGAAACATGAGCTGTTATTTTTTGGCATATATGATCATGAGACATTTTAGGAGAAAAAGACAAAGGGTGAAAATCATGATTGCAGCAATTTGCTTATATAAAAGCAAAGACAATTTATATTTTAATTTCATTTCTTCATAAAACATCGATGAATTGAGTTACTTAAGAAGCCTTGCTTGACTGAAAGGTTGTTTTGATTTTATAAATAGATAGGAGCCCATGTGATTTCCAAACAGATTTTAATGCTTCGAGGAGACCGAGATTGTACAGAATTTATCTGGTTGTGTCAATCGTGAGGTCTTGTAACATGTTTTGCAAATTTAAAAGATTTAGCTGTAAGTTTCTTCTTGGAAGACCTTCATTCAAGGAGAGCAGATGGTAATTGTCAGTGCACAGGGAAAACATACGGAGACGCCTGTATGTGTTATTTACAGCTTTATGGAAAGCAAAACTGATAGAGCTACAAGGAACCTCAGATATCTCAAAATGCTGTATTTTATTTATGGCACAGAACTATTAGAAATAAACTGAGAGCTAGCTGAATTAGTTGGAAGCCCTTTATCCTTTAAAATCAAGTCCTGGTAAGTCAGGAATGCTTGCTTCTACTCTGCAGTTGGTCTAGAATTGTTAAACTTAGAATATGTTGCAGGTACTGCTCTTATTATTTAAAAGTATGCGGAGGATCTGTACTTTTGCTAACAGTTTAGAGTTCACAGGCTTGTTTTGCTCTTTCTTGCTTTAAAGGCAATTATGTGGTGGAGGGGGCACATGTGGACACACGTGAAGGTTAGGGGACAATGGACAAGAATCTGTTCTCCCTTTCTCCCATCTGGTTTCTGGGAGTTGAACTCAGGTCTTCAGGCTTGGTAATAAGTAACTTTACCCACCAAACGATCTGGCTGGGTCATCATTCTTATCTTCAAAATATAAGCATCTTGGGAAAGGCCTCTCCGGAATTACTTGCTCTTTGTTCAGTCTTGGGTTTTGAAATTCTCTCTATTCCAGCTTAGATAGCTCTCTAAAACATTAAATTGATAGTATCGAGTTTCTCTCTGAATTTTTTTTGGGGGGGGGGCCGGGTGTTTATTTCCCTTACATGTAAGATGGTTCACAAACATGATACTAGGGCTTCGGCACTGTGGGAGAGGGGAACATGCCCGGCCTCTTAGGGCCAGAGGATCTCGACTTCAGTGTACACCGAGAAGGGAAGGAAAGGTGTTTTCACTTTCCTGCCTCACCTGAAGGGACAGAATCAGTTCCATTCGTTCCACCCTCCTCCCCGAGCCTTGGTGAAACAGGTGATGTATTTAATTCTCTTAGGTGGTAAAGGGATTGGCCCGGTCCCAACCATTACAGGGAGGTGGAAAAGGTTCAGGAAGGTACCAGCGTGGATTAGGACACAAGATGGGGCAGATGACATCAGAAGCATGTGACTGGTGGGAGCTGTTCCTCAGCTTCTGGGCAACCTAGTCCTGGCCTGGCAGAGGGCAGGGGATATGGACCGTGCTTATTGTTTGGCATTGATGATGTCCACAAATTCAGGCTTGAGGGAAGCCCTGCCCAAGAGGAAGCCGTCCACATCAGGCTGGCTTGCCAGCTCTTTGCACGTTGCTCCAGTCACTGAACCTCCATAAATGATTCGGGTGCTCTGAGCCACCGCATCAGAGACATTGCATTTCAGCCAACCCCGAAGCTTCTCATGCACTTCCTGGGCCTGTTGAGGTGTTGCAGTCTTGCAAGTACCAATGGCCCATACAGGTTCATAGGCCAGGACCACTTTGCTCGAGTCCTTCACATTATCTGCGATGACCTTGGTTTGCTCGAAAACAACCTTCTCGGTGATGCCGGCTTCCCTTTCATCTAACTTCTCCCCAATGCAGGCGATCACTCGGAGCCCCTCGGATAGGGCATGGGCTACTTTCTGCCCTATCAGCTCATCGGACTCCCCGAAGACGTGCCTTCTCTCCGAGTGCCCCAGCACTACCCATGCGGCTCCTAAGTCTTTGATCATGCCAGGGCTGATCTCCCCAGTGAAGGCCCCATTGGTCACTTTGTAGCAGTTCTGCGCAGCCACAGCAATCTTGAGATCTAGCTTCTGCCTGGCGAAGTCGATGTACTCGGTGGGGGGTGCACAAACCACCTCGGTGTCTGCCCGCACCTTAGCTGCGTTTAGGGTGTAAATGAGTTCTCCCAGGCACTTCTTCCTTCCATTCATCTTCCAGTTGCCCCCAACGAAGAACTTCCTGGAAGGCGCCATTGCGCTAGGGCAGACTGGCTGAAGGTCAGTACGAGCCTCCCTGAAATTTTTAAATGGCTCTTCTAGGGCACTATATCTCAGGACTTAATGGCAATTGTTTATCAATGGATCAGGTAATCTTACCAAAATATTCATTAACAGTTCTCTCTGAATTGTTTTACATCATCCCTTCTGTTCCATACACTCAGATGACAAAGATCAGGTTGGATCAAGCTGTGATATCTTCTTTTATACAGGAGAAGCAGTTAGAATCAATGAGCATGATCTGACTGAAATTTCTTCAGACAAACCTCCGTGGGTAGAGAACTGCAGCATGCCAATTTGATGGCCGGAAAGAGTTACCATTTTTCCCTGAAGGAGGAAGCAGAAAGAGTTACCATTTTTCCCTGAAGGAGGAAGCAGAGTAGGAATTCATTAATAGTTCAGGCTAATCATGGCTTGTGCCCGCATGTTGAATAGGTTAAGTTAAAATACAGGCTTGACCTATGATGGAGATGGATGGATGGAGGAGGTCACATGACGTTGTGGGCTCCTCTGTGAAGAAAATACTGTTGGCTAGCCACACACCCTCCTTTAAACTTGACACAAGGTCACATATAGCACTTATAGTTAACTGAGAATGACCTTGAACTTCTGTTTCTTTTGCCTCTGATATCTGAGTGCTGAAACTACAGGCATGCATCATCATCAGTGCCCTGGCTTATTAACCTGTTTTTATCATATGCAGAGTATTTATCTATACTGTTGTTTGATAGACATCAAGTTGCTTAACATTTACTGAGCATATCATCTATTTGCATCTTTTACATGCTCACGTGCAAGCTTCTATGACTTGATTTTAAAAAGTAGGTAGTGCCATCACCAAACGGAGTTAGTGCCTCGTAGAGTTAGAATTTGTTAGTTTAGCATGAGCCATTGTCCTCCCCACTTTGGGCATGCACCTGCCAAATTCAATAACATTTATGTGCTTATACTGTTCATATTTAAAATTTGAACCTCTTTGAAGGCAGGAATTTTTCTCAATTGCTTTAGTTGAGAAATGCCTAAGTGTATGGATTCCATGTAACTGTGATGAAGTACTGACTTGACTTAAGAAGTAAAGAAAACTTTTGAGGCAGGGCTTTGGAAGTTCAAATCTGAGATTAGGCAGCACTATGGCTTGGGGGTACTGATGAGAGCGGCAACAATATATGTTGGAGCAAGAGCAAGTGTGAAGACAGAGGAGAGACAGAGATGTGTGTGTGGGGGGGGAGAATATGAGAATACGAACAGGGCCTGGAGTCTTTTAGGGGCATATATCAGGAATTCAACCTTTAGCATCTCACTAGGAAACCCTTGAAAGATCTACAGCACCTTCTAATATGCTACAACTACACACATATCCTTTGGAGGTCAAACATCTGACCTACAGTACTTACCACCATTATACCAGAGCAGGGATTTTTAAATGGAGACTGCACTTTGTTTCCCAGCTGCCCAGACTCAAATAATCACTTAGAAGCTAAAGCTGTATTAGTTACAACACTGACCGATGGCTCAGGCGTATGTCTAGCTAGTTCTCACATCTTAAATTAATCTATTTCTATAGTTTTATATTTTACCACAAGGCTCATGGTTTGTTACCTCTTTCCTCTTGGGTAGTTACATAGTATCTGCCTGACACTACCTTCTTTCTCCCTGTATTCAGTTCGGTTCTCATGCCTACCTATCAATGAGGTCTCATGTAGGCCTCATGCCTGCCATAGGCCAAAGCAACTTCTTTATTAAGAAATGGTAATAAAACATATTCACAGCATACAAAGGGGAATCCCACATCAGGGATTATTAAAATCAAAGGCAAGAAAAAGTATTATACACACCTATTATAGGAAAGTCTTAGCGCCTGCCTGCCTCTCTCTCTCTCTCTCTCTCTTTCTTTCTCTTTCTCTCTAACTGCAGGTTCTCTCACTGGCCTGGAACTCATCAAATAGGCTAGACTTGGTTGCAAGTGAGATCCGGTTTTGTGTTGGGTCCCATTCATAGCCTACCCTGCAAGGTCTATGATTGACAGGACGCAAGTTAGACCAGGCAGCGTCACTTTAAGCAAAGGAACAGAAAATAATATATTTTTTCCAGTGAAAATGTTTCAATTCTAGTTTCAAGTACATAAAAAATATCTAGAATAAAAAACCTTTTAGAATGAGGTAGAACAGAGAGGAAAATCTAAACTATTTTGGCCAAGAAAGTACAAAAAACAATCTTTAAGACAAACAAAATTTGAAAGGATGGTTTAGAAAATTCTGATTTATCTCTTGCTGTTTCTCCTGTGTTTGGGGAAAGTTGGGGCAGACTGGATAAGGGTCCTAAACCTAGACTGCAAACCTGCCAATAAAGAAGTTGTGCGGCAAATGACTCACACTTCTAAGAATAAAAACCCCACTGAGATTTCCCCAGGGAACTAACGTCTTCAGACTCTAGGTTTCTAAATACTCCCTTCTTAGATATCAAAGATGTCGGGTTCTACTGACTCTTAGAAATACCTCGCATGTTTGTGCTGACAAGCAACACCCTGTGAAGGGATAGTGAGAGCAAAAGGAGTCCTTCTCCAGGTAAGCAGATTATAGAAGGGCAGAAATAGTTTAAGTGGAGTAAGTACTTAGGATGTTAGGGTGGCAGATTTAAGGGGAGGAAACAATGGATGATTTATTGGTTGTCTTGTTTTTTGTTTATTGAAACTTCCTGCTATTTACATAAAGAGGCTGACCCCTTACTGTCTTTTTCCCAGAGAAAATATTAAAAATATTTTCCAAGTGTTTGGGGATTATGTTGGAAAAGTCCAAGCATTTTCTTTAAAATCGATCAATGCCTTCTATGATTCTATGTAGATGAGCAAACCATTATTCCAGTGCAACTGGTGTGTGGCCACAACTCAAAGATTTAAAAAGATTGTTTTTAATTTTCAATTAATTGGATCAAAACCATGACAGAAATAGATAGTTCTTTTACTAACTATACCTAACTCTATGGAGACAGATATGAAAAATACCTTGTATCCCATGGGAAAGATGCTGTGTAACAGATTAGTAAGTGCCTTTCTTGTTCAACATGATTAGGAAAATGCATTGTTACTACTCTCAACACTGTAATTTTCTATCTGAAAATGCAATCCTTGTGCTGATCATACCAATTAAAGCATTCTTATTATTTCCCAGAATATCCAATGACAGGGTTTCTAGTGCTGTGAATAGATGCCTTGACCACAGTAACTCTTATAAGGACACATTTAATTTGAGACTGGCTTACAGAGGTTTAGACCATGATCATCATGGTGGTGAAAATCCTGGCAGCCTGCAGGTAGGCACACACTATGCTGGAGAAGTAGCTGAGGGAATTGGTGCCTCCAAAATGGCAGGCAGCAGGAAGGGACAGTGAACCACCAGACCTGGTTTGAACTTCTAAAACCTCAAAGCCCATTACCCCATTCCCAGTGGCACACTTCCTCTAGCAAGGTCACACCCACTCCAGCAAGTCCACACCTCCTAATAGTAGCTTTTTCTATGGGCCCATGGGGGACATTTTTATGGAAACCACCACATTCCACTCCCTGGCACCCATAGCCTTATGGCATATCATAATGCAAAAATACATTTAGTTCAATTTCAAAAGTCCTCATAGTCTATAACACTCTCAAACTTGTTTAAAAGTGGAACGTCTCTTCCGAGACTCATGGCAATCTTTTAACTATAATTCTTGTAAAATCAAAATGAAAAAAAACAGATCACATACTTCCAACATCTAATGACACAGAATATACAGTACTTTTCCAAAAGGGAGGAAAGGGAGCAAAGTGAGGAAATGCTGTAACAAATAAGGCCAAAACCAACTGGGCAAACTCCAAACTCTTCATCTCCATATCTGATGTCAAAACGCTTTTCAGATCTCCAACTCCTTTCAGTTTTGTTGAGTGCAACACATGTGTTTCTCTGAGGTGGATCTGTTAGCAGATCTCCTTGGCAGGGATCCCACTACTCTGGCATCTCCAAAACCCTAGAGACTCCAATGCTATCCAGGCTCCACCTTTACAGCTTCACGCAATGGCCCCTCTAACCCTCCATACAGGAACAACCTTGGCTCATGCCTGGCCTCAGTGACTTTAATCAGGAGGAAGATTCCATAACCTCCTTTTCTTCTTGACTCAAAAGTCATAAATATATTGCTGAAGCTGCCAAGGAAAGCTGCTTGCTGGGGCTGGAACATGACCCCCTCATTCAATTACATCATCACCAACTTTCCGTTTTTAATGGTTCGCTTCTCTGACTAAGCTTGGTTGTTCTTAAACTCCATCTCTAGATAAGGCTGGCCTCAAATTCAGAGATAGTGCAGCCTCTGCCGCTGGAGTACTGGGATTAAAGGCGTGCATCACTATACCTGGCCCTAAGATTTCCTTTAATCCCTTTTCAATTTTCTTTATATCCTTTTCTCAAGTTAGGAGCATAGCTGTATGGGGTCATCGCTCCCTTTATTCCATTTAGCATCGGTTTGTTCTTTAAACTTTTTATCTACATTTTACATTTTTCCTTGCTCAGCTTGCTCTTTTTTATTATACACCTACTTAAGACGGGCACTATTAACTACACATCATAACCAGTGTTTAGGAATCTCCTCTGTCAAAGCTGCTAATCCATAACTCTTCAGTTTAGCCTCAGGCACATTATTTTTAGACAAGGACAGAGAGCAGACACATTTTTCACAAAAACATCACAAGAATGATATCTAGGTCACATATTAATGTTTTCCTCTGAAATCTCTTGAGCTGGTCCTGAATGGTCTGAATCATCCTCATCAATACTGTCTTCCATGCTCCTGCTAGTATGGCCCATTAGGCCTACTTAAAGTGTCCAATCATTTTTCTAGTCTAATGTACCAAATGATTCCATATTCTCCCAAACAAAACAGCAGTACCCCTGTCCCTGGTAGCAACTTTTTTCTTAGGATTTCTATTACTGTGAACAGATGTCATGACCATGGCAAATCTTATAAAGAAA